CAGTAAAATTAAGGGCACCCACTTCAGGGACCGAAGGGAAGATGTTAGCCTTGCTAGACTCTGGGTGCACAAGATGTGTAATCAACATGAAAGTAGTTGAGGAGATGGGCATCAGACTGAGAATTTTAGAAATGCCCATAGCCTTTTGCCAATTGAATGGATCAGTGGCGGGGGGTTGCCCTGCACGCTTCATAACGGAACCCCTAGAGATGACCATGGGGGAGCATAAAGAGACTTTGCGTTTTATTTTGGCCCCTGGCATGGAGCAACCGCCAATACTAGGACTGCCCTGGCTCCGCAAATGGAATCCCCATGTGAACTGGAGGAAGGGGTTGCTGCGCATACACACCAATCAGCGACCGGAAGGGGAGGGGCAATCCCAGCAGAACCTTCAGAATCCGGTTGAGCTAGCCTCCACGGGTACCGAGGATTTGGAGGGGGAGGAAAAAATCCTGAAAGAATATTGGGACTTAAAGGAAGTGTTTAGTGAAAAAGCTTCAGATGAGCTTCCCCCTCATTGGTCAATGGACTGTAGTATTGAAATTCTGCCTGGGGTAATGCTCCCGAAACCGAAATTATATTCGATGACACCACGGGAATTGGAAGAGTTGAGATCGTTTATCGATAAAAATTTGAAACGTGGTTTCATCCAACCCGCTAGACCTCGGGTAGCTGCCCCAGTGCTGTTCCGTGAAAAGAAAGATGACTTCACATGTCTGGTGGTTGACTATAGAAACCTGAACGCAATTTCCGTGGAAAACGTATACCCCCTCCCCCTGATGAAGGACATGCTAGCCCACCTGGTGAAAGGGAAAATTTTCACAAAGTTGGACTTGAGAGAAGCGTACTAGATGAGTGGAAGATGAGTGGAAAACCGCTTTTAACTGCCCGATGGGTTGTTTTCAGTTTAATGTTCTCCCATTTGGACTACAGGGGGCTCCAGCCGTATTTATGCAGATGATCAATCAGGTATTACATGAACATTTATACAAGGGGGTCTTGGTTTACCTTGATGACATCCTTATTTACACGGAAACTTGGGATGAACATGTGAAACTGGTGCGTTCCGTACTACAGAAACTGCGAGCTGCTAAACTGTATGCTAAACTGTCCAAATGTGAATTCCATCAAGAGAAAATGGACTATTTGGGGTATCGCATTTCACACAAGGGTATCGAGATGGATCCAGGGAAGGTGCGAGCTGTGTTGGAGTGGGCCCCACCACGTACCCGAAAACAACTTCAAAGCTTCTTGGGCTTTGCCAACTTTTACCGGCAATTCATCCCGTCTTTTGCTAAGATAGCAATGCTTATCACCAATCTCTTAAAAACTAAAGGGGAGGTGAAATCAAAGCCGAGTAAGCCGCTGGAGTGGTCCATGGAATGCCAAGCTGCCTTTGAGAAACTGAAGTGACTGTTCACTGCAGAACCAGTGCAAAAACACCCGGACATAGATGCCCCTTTCATAATCCAAGCCGATGCAAGTGATGTGGCCGTTGGAGCGGTATTACTTCAAATCAACGAGAACCTCCCGTAAACTGACTGAAACTGAAAAAAGGTGGGCTGTCTGGGAAAAGAAAGCTTTTGCAGTTCGCTGGTCTCTACTGACATGAAGACATTTCTTGGAAGGAGCGAAACACCCATTTGAGATATGGACTGACCGTAAGAATTTGGAGACCTTAAAAACGCCTTGGAAACTGTCTCCTAAGCAAGTTCGGTGAGCCCAGTATTTTAAACGGTTTAATTTTTCACTAAAGTACATTCCGGGGGGTGGGGGAGGAATTTTATGGCGGATGCTTTGTCTAGACTGCCTCAATACAATAGTGTTCGTCAGGAAGTGATACGGCCAATTGTTTCTACCAAACAGCTAGCCGCCCCGGTGGTCACTAGAGCGCAAAAGAAGAAGCAAGAGGCAGATTTGTTGGGTGATTTGACAGCACAATTAAAGAAGCCCTGAAACTGGATGAGTGGTTCCTGGCGAATTCGAATAACTGTACAGTTAGAGATGGCTTGGCCTGGATGGGAGCGAAACTGTATGTACCAGAGACATTGAGAAACCAAGTATTGCAACAGGCCCATGACTCCAAAGCGGCTGGTCATTTTGGATTCGTGAAAACCTTACACCTCATTAAGCGACAATTCTGGTGGCCTGCGTTGAAGAAAGACATTGAAACTTATGTGTCTAGCTGCTCAGTCTGCGCTTCAGCAAAAAGGCCTCCTGGTAAGCCAGCAGGTCTGTTACAAAATGTGGCCAGGCCAACAGCTCCTTGGAAGGAAATCTCTATGGACTTTATAGTAGAGTTACCCGAGAGGTTATTTGGGTAGTAACGGATTCGTTTTCCAAACAAGTGCATTTCATACCTTGCTCTAAGATTCCTTCCGCAAGATCGTTGGCTAAACTGTTCATACTGCACGTTTATAGGCTGCATGGTGTCCCTGAACATATAATTTCTGACCGAGGGGTTCAATTTACCTCAAACTTTTGGAAGGAGTTCCTGAAGTTGATTGGTTCCGCCCAGGGCTTAAGCTCTGCCCACCATCCCCAAACCAATGGGGCCTGTGAGAGACTAATGCTATGCTAGAACAATACCTCAGATGTTACATAAATTATCAACAGGATAATTGGGTTGACTTATTGCTGTTTGCTGAAGTGGCATACAACAATTCTGTTCATAATAGTACCGGGTTCACCCCCTTTAAAGTGGCGTCAGAACAAGAGTTTGTGCCCATACCTGAGCTTCCTCGTGAAAAACCTAACATCCAGTCGCTAGACGAATGGATATCTCAACTCCAGCTTAACTGGCCAGTTGCTCACAAAGCATTGGATGACGCCCATCAGTCCCATAAGTAATTTGCAGATAAAAAGAGGGCCACAAAAGTCCTATCAAGTGGGAGACAAAGTTTTCCTGTCCACCAGATACTTACAAACCACTCAAAAGTTGAAGAAACTTGGTCCTAAGTATGTAGGTCCTTTCACAATTGAACGAATTGTAAATCCTGTGACGGTCCAATTGACACTACCAAAAACTCTTCGATGAATTCACCCAGTCTTCCATGTTAGTTTGTTGAAACCTGAACACACTTCTGTTTTGAGACCAACCCAGACTGATCCTCCTATTTGCTGGTTGAGGGTGAACAACACTTTGAAGAGATTTTGGACTCTCGTAAATGGAGGGGTCGGTTCCAATACCTCGTAGCTTGGAAACATTTCCCGTCTTCCCAAGCTGAGTAGGTTAATGAGAAGGATGTTAGAGCCCCTAAGCTGATCAAAGACTTTCACACAAAGTATCCTGATAAACCCTAGAAATATATATGATTGTTAACCAATGTTTTTGTGTTGTTCTCTCTTACAGGACTAACGTCTTTTTTCTAGGAGGGCCGAATGTCAGCCTTCAAGATCTTTTCTACTGCTTTGCATCTTTCGGCGGCCATAAGTAACGAGAGGAGGGGTTGCATCTGGGAAGAGAGCTGGAGGTGTTACATTCTTGTGTTGTAAAAATGAGGAGTGGTGGTGGGGAGTATAAATTCCTACTCTTAAGTTTCTATTTCCTTGCCCAAGGGAGCCGAGGAAGGGCGACTCTCTTGGGGAGGGGGTCCCATTCAGGAGAGCTCTCCCCACAAATGCGGCTGGCGGCAGGGGGGCCCTTGGGGGGGAAGGGAGCAATGTGTATGCGGGGGGGGGGTGTCCTTTGCCCCCCTCCCCAACCGCAGAGCAGGAGCCAGCGCTGGGGGGGGACTTATTGCCAGTGCTGCACCGGACCATCAAGCCAGGCAACCGGCCTTCAGCTGCCCCCTCCGCCTCTCTTGCAGCTACCGGTGGAAAGGCGCCGTCGAGGAGGACGCTGAGGTGCTGCTGGTGAGTTTGGGGAAGGGGCGGCCAGGCAATCCAGTTGATCTCTGCCCCCCTTCCCCCACCCAAGGGGGCTTGAAACCCCCACTCGCTGGGCCCAAAGCGGGCCAGGCTGCGCAGGGATGGTTTGGTTTGGCTGAGGAATTGGGGAGGGGTCACGGGGGAAAGGGGGAGAGACTTTCCCCTCTGATCAGCTTCACAGAGCCCCGGCTGCATATTTGGGACCCCCCCTCACCCGTACTCTTTCCTCCCCCCCTCCCCAGATGATCAAAACACGGAGCTCCCGGGTCTCGGCATTGGCAGAGTTTGTCTGGTAAGGCAAAGACCCCCCCTCTCCCCGCCCCCTGGCAGTGCATGATGGGGGGCAACACTCACTTTCTACATCGCCCACCCCACAAAGACCCCCCGGTAGTGCATGATGGGGAGGCAACACTTTCTACACCCCCCGCAAAGACCCCCCCTCCCCCCTGGCAGTGCATAATGGGGGGGCAACACAGTGACTTCCTACATCAACCCCCCCCCCCATTTGGCTTGCAGGTCGGTACACCCCTACGAATTGGCCGAGGTGATCTCCGTCCCCATCCAGCAAGGGAACCCCCCCTATTTCCGATGGGTGGAAGAGGCCGTGGACCCCGAGTGACGGGCCCTTGACCCGCCTGGGCCCACAATAAAAGTCCCCCCGCCCCGGGGCGGGGCAGTGCCAGGCTCTGGCTTCCATTTGCCTTTGGGGGGGGGCTCCTTGAGTCTTGGGGGGGAGGGGCGGCTGGCTCTGGAGAAGGGATTCCCCTCCCCTTAGCGGCAGTCCCACGGCTGGGGCCCCCACCCTGGAAGAAACAGCGGCAGTCAAGAGTCTCACTGAAGCTCTTTATTCAGCCTCTGGCTGTGAAAGGGAGGGGGCGCGTGGGGGGGCAATGGCACCTCAAAGTCAGCAGTGGGGGGGGGGGGACAGGCAGCCCCCCCCCAGGAGCCGTGCCACACCCCTCCGGACACTCTCCATAAGAACTTCACTCAGAAACAGTACAAAAATAAACTCGGGCTTCACTCCACAGGGGGAGGGGTCCTCCGCCCAGGGTCCCTTTCCCGGCTCCCCTCCCTTCTGTGGAAGGTGGGGGAGCGGCGCTTGTGGCTCCGTGGGGGACCTGGAACATGCCTCACCCGTCCCACTCCACCAGGTACTGGACGCTGCCGTCCATGGTGATGCACCGGGCCAGGATGCGGACAGCCTCCCTCCGTGCAGGTCGGCCCATCGCCCCAAAGTAGCTGCTGCTGGCCGGGGTGCAGAGGGCAGGGGGCACGGCAGGGGACAGGGGGCGGGGCTTGGCGCTTGAGGGGAGGCGTTGGGCAGGGTAAGAAGGCGGGGGCAGGGCGCTCCGGACTCTGCTGCTCTGCGGCGCTGGGGGCAGCTGCCACGCAAGGTTCAAGGGGAGCCCCAACGTTTCCGCTGCAAGGGAAGGGGGAGCGGTTAGTCCCAGGCCACAAACCCCGGCCCCTCCCATCACCCAGGGCCGGGGGGGGCCTCCCCCCGAGACCCCTCGGCGGAGGCGTCCCAGCCAGGGCGAGAAGGGGAGCACCTCAGCCGTCGGGGTGTGTCCCATCGAGAACTCGGGCAGCCCAGCTGGGGCAGCTTCGGTGCCCTGCGTGGTGGCATGGCGGGAAGCAGAGCAAGGGGCGGTGGGCACCCCAGCTGCTTTGGGGACCCCAGGTGGGGGTGCAGGTCCTGTGACCACTCGGGGAAAAAGCCGGTGGGTGAGACGGCCAGCGTGCCGGGGCTACCTGGTGCCAAGGAAGGGCTGCTTGCACCCCTGGGGGAAGACCACCGCTCCTTCTGCATCGAAAGGGGCACCCCTGCTTTGAGACCCCCCCCACACACCCCCGGTCCATCAAGGTTCCTGCCCAGCCTGAGCTGCTGCCTTTGCCCTGTGATGCCCGTTGACCCCAGCCCTTGGGGAGGCGCCCTGCCAGGCCCCGTCCTGCCACGGCAACAGGGGCCCAACAGCCAACGGAGAACCTCAGCCCTGCCTGGAGGCCCCAGCCACAGGAAGCAGGCCCAGCGGATGCCCCTCGAGGCCAGAGGGCCCCCTTGGGATCCTCCATCCTGGCCCTGGGGGGAGGCCGTGGGTATCCCCACGCCCCTCTGGGCCCCCCGGCTCACCTCAAGGCCCCTGTGGTGTTGGCCAAGGGGTGGAAGGAGGCGAACATCCGGATCGGAGCGCTGGGGGGAAGAGAGAGAGCGGACCATCAAGAGAGGAGCCGGCCTGGGGAAGCAGCCATGCCCCCTGCGCCCCCTGTCCACAGCCTCACCTGTCCTGGCAGCGGGCATCGGTGCAGCTTAAATTGTACGTGCTGCAGGTGCCGCCGTAGCTCTGGTTAGGACTGACCGGGCTCTGCACCAGCTCCTGTGCGGAAGGGAGAGCGTTGAAGGGCAGCTGGGGGGGGGGGCAGCACAGGCCCCTCCTCCCTGGTGGCCCTCCCTCCATGTCCCTCTGCTCCCTCCCCTGCTTACCTGAGTGAGGGCCCTTGTTAGCCGCTTCCTCTTCCTGGCGCTGTGCTGCTCCGTGGTGTTCAAGGCTGCCCCGGGGGCCTTCGGGCGATGACGCCTCTCCCTCCTGGGCTGCGGCCCCAACCCACGCCTGCCCTGCCCTGAAAGCAAGCTGTAAGGGGCCCTCCTTATCTGTGCAGCACGGAAGGGGGGGCGGGGGGGGGGACACAGCTTCCTCCTCTGCCCAGGCCCACAGCTGGGGAAACTCCTCACCTGTTCTTGGAGAAGGGCGTGGGGGCCCAGGGGCGTGGGGGGCAGGGGGCGGGACTCGCAGGTTCAGCCCAAAGAGCCCCTTCCTGCCGCTCAGTGGCCTCCACCCACACCGCCCGGGCTCCGCTCAGGTGTCCGACTGGGGCGGTCAGGAGTTGTAACCGCCGGCGTGGCTCTGCACACTCCAGTCCCGCGTTGCCTCAGGAAGGGAAAAGTAAAACCGGGAGCCGCTGCCCGAGCGTCCGGTGCCGCTGCTGCCGTTGCAAAGCGCCGCCGCGGTTCTTTTTGCTTTTCCCTTCCCAAGGCAACGCGGGACTGGAGCCGCACGGAGCCATGCCAGCGGTAGCAACTCCTGACTCAGGGGGCCTCTGAGGGGAGGGGAAGAGGGGGGCGATTCCTCCAAAAATCAGAATTCCAATTTTAATCGGAAGAATATCATGTCTGCCCCGCCCACCCCACAATCCCCCCGCCGAGCTGCCTGGAAGCCCCCCTGCCCTCCAGCCCCCCCCAGGGGCTGCTCCCTGGCCCCTGGGCCTCCCCTTACCTCTCTGGCGGCTGTTCCCGAGACGGACTCCTCCGGGGAGGCTGACCCCCCCTCCCCGGCCCTGCTGGGCTGGGGGCCTCTGCTGTCCTACCTGGGGGGCCTCCCCCCCTGCTGCTCCTCCTCGCTCTTGACCTGTAGTTGAGCAAACTGGGTGATCACCTCCTCCAGGCGCTGTACATCCAGCGCCTGGTTGCATTGCAGGTGCTGGGCTAGCTCCACACCCCCCATAGCTGGGTCAGTATCTGCCGGGCAGGAGACAGGCACGAGCTGACAGGGGGTCCGCCTGCCTGCCCCAGGCCAATGGCCTCCACTCCATGGACGGGGGAGGGGCCCTCTTGGGAAACTGGGGATATCCCCTCTAGCCTTCGAGGAGGGGCTGTGCCCAAGGAACTTTCAGCCGCCCTCGCCAGAGGAAAGCAGGCGTGGGCTGCCCTCCCTCCCCTGATGGGCTCCTGCCCAAACCTTCCCCCCCAGGTGTTCATCCCAGCTTCAGCCCAGCCACCCCATAGCCAGAGTGCTTTTGGGGGGACAGAGCTGGTTACCCCCCTCCCCAATTCTAAACGGCCTCAAAGGCCCCACCGGGGATCCACGCCAGGAGCTCCCAGAGGATGAAGCGCAGCTCCATGGTGTCCCTCCCTGGCCCCCCCTTACCTCCTGGGGGACAACAGTTGCCGGAGTCTCCCTAGTCCGCCTGGCTGCTCGGTCCAAGAATCTGCCCAGCAAAGCGGCCGTGCGGAGAGAAGGGAAACGTGCCCCCCCTCCCGCGTCAAGGACAAGGAGAGGGGGGTATGTGGGTTTAACTGGGCCAAGCTCTATGGGGCAGGGACTGTGGGGGTCCCTGCCTGGAGCTACCAGCCGAGGACAGGCAGCCCTGCTCCACTTGCTGTAACCTGAGAGGGTCTGAGCTGCTCATCCAGCCCTCTGACCCAGCCCTCCTCTCGGCAGGGCAGGCGGGCCCTTCCTTCCCGACAAAGGGAGTAGGAAGGACGAGAACAGCCGGGGGGGCTCCTTTGCGCCCCCAGCTGGTGGCCCCAAGGACTGCCCTGAGCAAGACCAGAAGGGGCACAGCGGGCACCAAAGCGGGACTCCTTGGGTTGAGGCCCTGGGGGCTCTTCCAAGGCAGCCCCTGCCCCGGGTGGAACCAGGCACCGCCAAGAGTTCCCTGCAGCACTCACTAGTCTGATACTGGTCGGTGGGGTGGCTGCCGAAGTTGTAGACCAGGTCGAGGCGACGTTGCTCCTGCAGCTGGGCGTTCACATCCCGGAAGGCATCGGCTGCCATGGCCTCCATCTGGTCCTTGGGCAGCCCCAGGCTGTGACGGTCGCTGGCCTCCTGCACCACCTTGAGGATGTCGGCAAAGTCTGGGAAGGCCTCCGGCTGGTTGATCAGCTCCTCTATGCACAGGTTGACCTCCGGGTAGCGGGTCCCGCAGTAGGAGATGCGCTGCTCTATGACGCGGCCGGTCAGGCTGCTGCAGTCCCTCAGCTGGCAGAGGCGCTTGAAGACGTGCATCAGCCGGCCCATGAGGAGGCTCTCCTGCAGGTAGGCCGAAAGCTGGCTGTCCAGCTCCTCGAAGTCCAGCTCCTGCTCCTGCAGCTGCCGGATCTCGTTGGCGTAAACCCGCAGCAGGTTCTCCAGGTAGCGGATCTGCTGCTTGGAGCCCACGCAGGGCTTGGCGGGCTCAGAGGGCGTCTGGGAGGCGAGGGCAGCCGGGGCATCCTGGGTGTTTGCGGGGCCGGGGGTTACGGCTCTTCTCCTCTGCGAATGGGCCCGGAAAGCGGTGCAGAATTCATTAATGCAGACATAGATTTTTCCACTCCTGCCTTGCACCTGCGTCAGACAGCGGCTCAGGACATTGTGAAACTCCACAGAAGCCAAGTACTCCGGACTGGTCCTCTGGTGGCAGCCAGAGAGGTAGGAGATGAACTCAGGGTCATCCTTGGTGTGCCTGGAGCAGAAGGCCACGAACTGCAGAGGGAAAGAGGCAGGAGAGGCAGGGCTCAAGGCGTGGCTCAGGCGGGCCTCGCTTTCTCCGTGGCTTCCTGCCAGGAAGAAGACGGGAGCTGGGCTTGGAGGTGATACCCTCCTCTGCCCCAGAAGTCTATGGGACGGGCCCCGTAGTCCCTAAGGCCCAGGCGGAGAAGCCTTCACAGGAGCCCAGTTGGTCAGGATACTAAGCGGAGTAGCTGGAAGAGCAAAGCATGCAATGGGCACAGGGACACTTGATTGGTTGGAGAGGGCTGGCTCCTGCGTGAGATTTCTGTCCTGCAGGAGGACAGAAACGGCATGGGTCGCACTTTTGGGGGATCTCTGGCGGGAGTGGGATAGGGGTAGTGCATCCATCCTTGCTCTACTTGATGTCTTGGCGGCTTTTGGTACCATTGACCATGGGCTTCTCCTGGGGGGACTTCAGGGGATGGGAGTGGGAGGCCTTGTGCTATTCTGGTTCACTTCCTTCCTCTGTGGCCGCTCTCAGTCAGAGTTGATAAGGGGGCAGAGATCCAACCCTTGACCGCTGCTTTACGGGGTCCGCAGGGAATGGTACTCTCTCCGCTCCTGTTCAACATTTACATGAAGCCGCTGGGTGAGATCATCCAGCTGATAATACTCAGCTGTATGTCTTGGCCCGTGGTGAGTTAAGAGTCGCTGTGTCCTCCCTCTCGCAGTGCCTGGAGGATGTTAGGGGCTGGGTGGGGAGCAACAGGTCGAAACTAAACCCTAGCAAGACTGAGTGGCTCTGGGTCTGGGGTTCGTTGGTTGAGGGAGAATTACCACCTTTAGTCTTGGATGGGGTGGCACAACCCCAAAGGGACCCTGTGAATAATCTAGGGGCTTTCCTGGACTCACGACTCCTGCTTAAAGAGCAGTCATGGCCAGGAGGGCGTTTGCACAATTGCAGGTTGTGCACCACTTGCGCCCTTTCCTGGACCAACAGTCCCTACTGACAGTCACTCATGCCCTAGTCCCACGATGGGCGAACCTGTGGCACGCAGAGCCATTTGTTCTGGCAAGCGAGCTGCAGGTGAACTTACCTCACTGCGCATGTGTGCGCCTCACAGCTGATTTTTGGCTGGTTTAAGGCCTTTTTTTGGCCTCCCGGAGGCTTCAGGAAGGCTTCTGCAGGCTTTTCAGGGCAAGAAGTAGGCCCGTTCCATTACTTCCTGTTTTTCTGGAAATACCAGAAGTGATGAAACTGCCTCATTTTCGGCCTGGTAAGCCTGCAGAAGCCTTCCTTCACAGTGCAGGTAAGGGGGTGGCAGGGATGGGTGGAGATTGCACACGCAGGCATAGGGGGCGTGGGGGGGCGTGCATTGCCTTCTGAGTGCTGGTGCGCAAGCCTGCAAGCATGCGCACAATTTTTGGCACAGGAACCCCAAAAGGTTAGCCACCGCCGCCTTAGTCACTTCCCGTCTTGACTATTGCAATATGCTCTACATGGGGCTGCCCTTGCAGAACATCTGGAAGCTCCAGATGGTGCAAAATGCAGCGGCCCACATGGTTTTGTGCAGACATGGTCTGTGGTCACCACCCGCAGAACCGCTCCTTTCTTGGGGATGTCTTGCTAACCTCCTCTGCTTTCCACCTGTTGTCTATTCCATTTGCACAACAGCATGTGAAATGGATTGTCCATCAGTGTTGCTACCTAAGTGGACAGTTTGATTTCACAGAAATGGGATTGACTTGGAGTTCCATTGTGTTGTTTAAATGTCCCCTTTATTGTTTTGAGCAGTGTATATAAAATTGAATGGTGGAGGGGGGGGGGTTGACTCCCATCTGGACAAACGCTGCCGCCTGGGGGGATCCGGCTGACTCAGGGCATTCTGGGAAATGGAGAGGAGAGTGTGGGGGGGGGGGTACAGGAGGGTCCTGCAGGAAGGTGGGATGGATGACCCTTGGGGTCCCCTTAGAGGCTGACGCGTGGACTTTCCCGGCTTTCCTCTCCCTCTCGGAGCCCCGTCGGTTCCCGGGGCCTCCCCACCCACCGACCCCCCCCCTGCCCCCGCTCACCTCCTGGAAGAGCCGCTCATTCTCGGCGCGGAGCCCCTTCTCCCCAGCGCTGCTGTTCAGCGGCGGTGGCGGCGTCGGAGGGGCATCGGGCCCGCGGGAGCGCTGGCGGAGGGGGGCGGCGTCGGCGGCGGCCGGGGACGGGTCGTCGTCCTCATCGTCC